CCATCCAACTTCAATTGGTCACCACATTCAATATTAAAGACTCTGAAATGCCTGCAAAAATCAAGGGTCGGAGAATGGGGGCCTCACGTAACTGTAGGAGGGTGGCAGCCTGTAGAAACGTCCTGCAATAATGCATCTCTCCCCAACCAAAAGACTAGGGAAAGTGCATAGGTTGACAATCGAACTAAGCTAGATGCTAACAATGGTCCCAACTTGTCATCAAATTGTCCAGAAATTCTCTGAGCCAAGCCACCAAAGACCCCAAAGGCATATGGTAGTTACCATTGCCACTGGCGGCATTCTGACAGGTGGAGGAACTTCGTGGATATGGGCAGAACTGGATATGGATATGGTTGATGTTGGGGTCGGAACACTCAAATAAGGGTGGAACTATGACCTCCTGTAAGAGCCAATGAAAATCGAAAAGCTAACAACGACAGGGATGAATGCAAATTGGCGTGTGGGAAAACTTTACCACAGATAATGGGTACTACAGGTCTTTGCATCAGGATTAGTCATTCATTTCACATCACCACCACCATTATCCCCAACCTGTAGGCTATCAGAGATTTGTTGGTCAAGGGGACAGCGGAGAATGTCATCACATTTCTTCCAAAATTTTATTCCCGCGTGTTTGTTGTGCCCAAGAAGATGGAAGATTGGCATCCAGTCATTGATCTTTCTTGTCCAAATCAATTCCTAGAGCCTCGAAGATTCACAATGGAGTCAGTACTCACTCTGTGTTGGCATTTATTGCCAGGACTGTGGATGACCAAGTTCGATGTTGCTGATGCCTATCTGCACATTCCCATAGTGAAGTCATCCCATCACTATTTGCATTTTATGCACAAGGGTTAGGTGCTGCAGTTCAAGGCTCTGTCTTTCGGACTAGCATTGGCACCATTTGTATTCTGCTGAATATTAAGAGCTTTTCCTCATCATCATCTTCATTCCCTAGGCCTGTGCACACACCATTACATGGACAACTGGTTGCTGCTGGCATCATCTCGTCAATTGGTGGAACGTCCCACCCAGATTCTACTTTGAGAAGCAACCAAAGCAGGCCTTATTATCAGAGCCAAGAAATATATTCTTACTCCAACACAATATATCAGCCATTTGGTGTCTTTTTTAACACATATCTCAGTCGGGTTTGGCTGCCTCCCATCTGGCTCCATGTTATGGAATAGGTAGTTGACTCTTCCTCACGTCTCCTCCCACTGTGTAGATGGTTCTTTCTCTTTTGAGGATGTGGGCATTCATCAAATCCTTCATTCCTTTGGGATGAGTGCACATCAGATCCCTTCAGTAGTCTCTACACGACCAGTGAATCGTGAACAGTTTTCCAGTCTCATTCAAGATCAACATCTTTGATCTTGAGTGGTGGTTAGATTGGAACAATGCTATGAAAGGTGTTCCTCTGCCGCCACTTTGTCCAGAGATCAATCTCTTTATGGATGCCTTGCTTCAGGAATGGGGTGTGTATATCTCAATGATTAGGAATTCCAGGGCCTATGGATGGATGACAAAAATCGTCATGCTTCAAGGTCACACCAGGTCCAGGTCTCTTTGTTTCCAAACATTGGATCTTTTTTATTGGGCTCACTCCCCTCATATCATCCTTCTAGCTTGCCATGTTCCTGGGGTGATGAATTTGGTGGCAGAGCAATTTTATTGACCCAACTGGATTTTCCCGACAGAACAGATACTGCATCGCGATATTTTCTTTTGGAGTTGCTCTCGGTTCAGGACACCAGTGATTGATGCATTTGCCACTCATTGGAACACTCAATTATTGGCATTTTGGTCTTCTTATACTTCACCCTCAGGCATTGGCAATAGATGATTTCAGTCAGGACTGGACAGGATTGCATCTCTGTGCCTTCCCACTGATTCGTCTGTTACCCAGAGTCATAGCCATGATTCGTTCAACCCCTTGTCATGTTCTATTGGTAGCATTGGATTAGCTGGCTCAACCCTAGTTTCTACTTCTGCAGTACCTTCAGGTGTGTACCCACTTCCTCTTTGGCCATCTCTGAGGCAGTCACTATCCAACATTGTACACTCAGCCATCTCGAAGCTCAAGTTTCATGCATGAAGATTATGCAGTCTTTCGCATGGCATTGGGATTTAACTTCTAAGGTTGCCATGTATCTATCTCAATCACTGTGTAATTCTACAATGAAAACTTATCAATGGAAATGACAGACAATGGTGTATTGCAAGGAGGTTGAACCCACTTTGTCCAGAAGTGCCAACCATAGCTCATTTTTTGACCTGGTTCTTTGACAAGAATTTAGCATCTTCTACAATCACCTTATCGACTACCTTTAGATAATCGAGGAGACGAAAATTATTTGAGTCCCCATTGATTTTTGATCTCCTCAGGTCATTTTGGGTCCTTTGTCCCAAACAACCATTTCAGTTATCTAACTGGGATATTCTTTCTCTTTCTGCTCTTTCTCGACACTCATTTGAGCACTTAGCCTCGTGTACCATGTTTTTTGTTGCTACTGGCCTGTAGACATCGCCAGTTGGAGTTGTTTGCACTGCATGTGCATAAGATGCTTTATCATTCTACCTATATCCTCTTACACCCAGACAGGTCCTTCTTATTTAAGACATTGGCAGCCAGGGAAGGGAATAAATCATTTTCACCAATTCACTATGATCAATTTGATCCAAATTGTTTGTGATGTCCAGTAAGGGCCTTAATGTTTTATGTTGCCTACATTGACGCTTTTCGAGGTGCTAGACAACGACTTTTTATTTATTGAGATCCACCAGATTTCTGGGGTTTATCCCTGCCTAACTTGACGAGGTGGGTACAAAAACTGATCTATATCGCTTCTTTTGGGCTCTCTTTGGGGGTGAGGAGACTTCTGCAAGTCACATTTCACCAGTTGAATTGCCCACTGGAGAAACAAAATATGTGTTTATACATATAATGAAATTCACTACCTTTCAGCAGTTAGGAAAGATGATGTTAATAGATTTAACATCTAGAATATTAACAGTTGGTATGAATAGTTATGAATATATGAATAGTTATGAATTCAGAAATTTCAAACATAAAAAAAATAAGTTCTCTCTTGTACAAATAATATGTTTTAATTTAGTTCATGGTTCTGGTTTTGTTACACATATATCGGTGTTAAAACCACAAGGTAAACTTAAATACTGCTCACTGCCGTTCCCTAAGGATCAAGAGAGCAGATGGAAGCTTTTGTATTCGCTAAAAGCCAAGGTAACAGTGTTAGTCGGTACTGTGTCCCACATACAGTTTATCTGACCAATCTCTG